ATGGTGGTGACCTTTGCCCCCGTCAACATCACAACGGAGGTGAAGTCGGTGGAGATGCACCATGAAGCCTTGTCCGAGGCCCTGCCTGGGGATAATGTGGGCTTCAATGTGAAGAACGTGTCCGTCAAGGATGTTCGCCGTGGCAACGTGTGCGGAGACAGTAAGAACGACCCACCCACAGAAGCCTGCAACTTCACTGCCCAAGTAGGTAACTGGGATTGGGGAGGCGGGGGCATCGCAGAGACAGGCTCATAGCATTCACAGGGGCCACAGTACAGGGGTCATGGAGCAGAGGTCAGGACTCTGTGTTGGCCAACATTAAACATGCCAGAGAGAGAGAGAGACTGTGTCAGGGACAGAAACAAATAAATGAGGGGAACAGAGGGGAGATTGGAACCCTCCCTCAATTATCTAAAACACATGGCTGACACTGCACCTGTACTGTCAGACTCAAACCCATTTCACAGTGCAACACAGCAGGCTAGGCACACTGTCCCCTCGCTCTCTGGGGCAGTGGGTCTCACACTGTCCTCTCTCTGTGTGGGACAGTGGGTCTCACACTGTCGCCTTGCTCTCTGGGGCAGTGGGTCTCACACTGTCCTCTCGCTCTCTGGAACAGTGGGTCTCACACTGTCCTCTCGCTGTCTGGGGCAGTGGGTCTCACACTGTCCTCTCATTCTCGGGGCAGTGGGTCTCACACTGTCCCCTTCCTCTCTGGGGCAGTGACTGGGTCATTGGGAAAGATGTTTGTGCAGTAATCCAGTAATTGCAGAATGAGATGAACAGACAAGTGGACAGATACAAGCAGGAGAAAGGAACGTGAGGAAACGCTGATTGAGAGAGAGAAAATAGCAGGAGGCTGGTGTGGATCATGGAACATTCCCACTGGGGTGAACCATCAGTTCCGTGTTGTAGGTTTTGGAAACAGCCATAAAAGTGAGGATGATTTAGTTGAGAGTGGAGAGTTTAACCACAGAGTTGATAATATCTGTGTCCACAGGTGATCATCCTGAACCACCCTGGTCAGATCAGTGCTGGCTACTCCCCAGTCATTGACTGCCACACTGCACACATTGCCTGCAAGTTTGCCGAGCTCAAAGAGAAGATTGACCGTCGTTCCGGCAAGAAACTGGAGGACAATCCGAAAACCCTGAAGTCTGGTGATGCTGCCATTGTTGAGATGTCTCCTGGGAAACCCATGTGTGTGGAGAGCTTTTCCAAGTACCCTCCTCTGGGTGAGTAACCAGCAGCACATAGAGGCAGCTTGGCAATTCCCCCAAATGTTTTAGAGTCAGTGAAGGGCTTTCTAAAACATGCTCAGTGTTATAATAACATAGGAAGCTAAACAGTCAATCTGTGCACAGCAAGATCCCACAACAGCAACATCAAAACACAACCATCTGTCAATATGATAAATATTGCCATAATGCAAGGACAACAACAATAATAAACTACTCAGCTGAAAGGACAGAGGGCCTTGATTTGATTCCGCATTCAAAAGGCCCCACCCTCCGACAGTGCGGCGCCCCCTCAGCGCCGACCCTCCGACAGTGTGGTGCTCCCTCAGTACTGCATTGAAATGTTGCCTGGCACGGCTGGAGTAGGTTTGGGAACCCCTGACCTTTCTGTGTGGTGGATAAAGTGTGCTATTCACTGACAGCCCGCTGATGTTACAGGTACCTGTCCTCTTCCCATTTCCTATTGCTGATGCAGCGTGTGTCGGTGTTTTACAGGGCGGTTCGCTGTGCGTGACATGAGGCAGACTGTTGCGGTGGGAGTCATCAAGAACGTTGAGAAGAAAGCAGTCAGTGCTGGCAAGATCACAAAGTCTGCACAGAAAGCTCAGAAGGCTCAGGGCAAATGAATTGGAGGCCCCACAAGCACAAAGCCAGCGGCCCAGAAAACCCACCGCGGATACAAAGGCCATGTCTGTACATCTGCTTGTCAAAGCTCATTGGTGAATGACTGGATGTTAACTATTAAAGTCCAATGGAAGTTTTTTAAGAGGAAAAGCATGTCTCAGAATTTGTGAGGTACCCGATTAGTTTTATCAATAAACAGATGCGACCACACTAACGCCACTGCCTCAGTTTTTCCTTGAGAAGTGTTGGGACTGATAAGATAAGCAGGCATGGGACGTATGGGGCGTGCTAGGATGGGAAGGGCTAGGGGCGTTGCTGTAACGATCACCCAGGGAACTGAGAGTTCCACCCTCGTGTTTTGAGGGATTTGAAATCCGTTTTCAAAATAAAACCAAGCTTTACAATTGGGACCCAGTAAAAGTGGCCACAAAATGTAGCTCTTGCCGAGACCCAGTGTTACCAAGGCAACTGTTCCATTCACTTTAATGTGTCAATCCATCAATAAAGCCAGCTCCAAACCCCTGGACCTTTCACCCCACACACACACACCACTCTCTCCACTGTATTGGGGAGCAGGGGGGGCATGAAGTCTTCCGGAACACTGAGCCTGAAAGGAAATTTTGGATAATCCTGGAGGATTGGTGAGCAGAGAGAGAGAGTATTACAACTGAATGTAGATGATGAAGGTAGTCCATTCTGGCATTGAGGTTCTAAATGAGCTGTTAGCATCAGAATGTGATTGGAAGCAGAGAGCAGAAACATCTTCAAGGGATCAATGTCAAATTCTCCCAGAACAGGAACAGCACGGAGTTAGACACAGAGTAACGGTCCCTGTACATTGTCCCCATCAAACACCCCAGAGCGGGAACAGCACAGGTTTAAAAACAAGGTAAAGCTCCCTATACACTATCCCCCATCAAACACTTCCAAGACAGGGACAGCATGAGGTGACGAACAGAGTAAAGCTGTTTTAAACTGAATGTAAAGTTAACTTGACACTGTCCTTATCAAAAACTCCCGGGACAGGATTGCATGGGGTTAGATATGGAGGCAAACTCCCTCAATGCTTTTAAACTGAAAGTAAACAAACCTCGACACTGTCTCCATCAAACACTCTCAGGGACAGGGACAGCACGGGGTTAGATACAGAGTAAAGCTCCAAGTACACTGTCCACATCAAACACTCCCAGGGACAGGGACAGCATGGGGTTAGATACAGAGTAAAGCTCCCTCTACACTGTCCCCATCAAACACTCCCAGGAAAGGGACAGCACGGGGTAGACAATATTCTGATAATATTCAGAACTGACCAGTAATTGAGCAAATATTGACTGTAGACCAGTAACTGAAAGTGTCAATAACAGCTAATGCAGATTGAATATCTCCAGCAGTAATATGTTTTCCAAAGAATGTGCCAGATATTGATCTGAATCTGATGGGGGTGCGATTGAAAGGAAATCCTCCCAATGTCCCAGCACAGACCATTCATGCCATTCTGTATTCTTAGCTCTATCTGGCCTGGCTCTCTGAAAGTGTTCACCTGCTAAATCAAAGTTGCAATACAGTAAGACCATTGGCCCAACTCTTCCTGGTCAACCTTCATCCTCCACAGAAGGGAATTGTTTTTATTATTACATTTAACCATCATGCTCAATTTTTCTCACAACCAACAGTGTTTCACTATCTACAAAAAAATCTTATCTTGAACTTGAGTTTCTCCCTCAACCAGGTATAGAGTCATACAGCAAGGAAACAGGTCCAACTCATCTATGCTGACCAGATATCCTCAATTAATCCAGTCCTACTTGCCAGCATTTGGCCCATATCCCTCTAAACCCTTCCTATTCATGTACCTATCCAGATGCCTTTTAAATGTTGTAATTGTACCAGCCTCCATCACTTTCTCTGGCAGCTCCTTCCATACGCGCACTATCCTCTGCGTGAAAAAGTTGCCCCTCAGGTCCTTCTTAAATCTTTTCCCCTCTCCCCTTAAACCTATGCCCTCTAGTTTCGGACTCCTCTACCCTGGAGATAAAGACCTTTATCAAGTCACCTTATCCATGCTTCTCATGATGTTATAAACCTCTATAAAGTCACCGCTCAGCCCCTGACACTGCAGGGAAAAGACAAGCCCCAGCTTATTCGGCCTCTCCCTACAGCTCAAACCCTCCAGTTGTGGCAACATCCTTGTAAATCTTTTCTGCACCCTCTCAAGTTTAACAACATCCTTCCAATAGAAGGGCAACCAGAATTGTATACAATATTCTACATGTGGGAGTAAATGCACCAGCATCCACCTTTGTGTGAAGGTGCCGGTGTTGGATTGGGGTGGACAAGGTAAGATGTCACATGATACCAGCTTATAGTCCAACAGGTTTATTTGAAAACACAAGCTTTGGGAGCGCTGCTCCTTTGTCACCGCTGCAAACTGGTGTCGTGCAACTTCTGACTTTGTCCACCTTCGTGTGTGAAGAGGTTTCTCTGCCCTCTGAGCTAAATCACTTGTATTTAATCTTTGATCCATGGTTCACTGTTCTTAGCCTCTTCAAAGGGGAGGAAGAGATGAAGAGATTTAGCTTCCCTTTCAAATGTTTACACTTAATCACTTTGAGTAATGTGCATGTAAAAGATCGCAGCCCTCAGATCTGTCACTGCTCACCCATGTGTTAAATGGGACATCAAATCTCTCTGTCTTTGCACTTCAAGGTCAGAAATCACACAGCACTAGGTTATAGTCCAACAGGTTTATTTGAAATCACAAGTTTTTGGAGTGCAGCCCCTTTTTCAGGTGAAGTCACTGTAACCTGTTGTTGTGAGATTTCTGACCTTGTCCACCCCAGTCCAACACTGGCACCTCCACATTTTTGCTCTTTGCGTTTTACTGAGGCGTTTAGTGGGGGATTAACTCCCAAAGGCAGGAAGAGTCAGTTGATACATCTGAGTTTGAGAAAATTGGGGTTTGTTTTTGCAGTGATCTGATGATTTTGAACTCACTGTGGCTGTTGTCCCACTCAGCTCCCTGCCCCTAAGAGTGTTAGCAAGAAGGTGAGGACAGGGACTGACACTGAGAGGGGTCTGACACAAAATAATTCAGCTAAATATGACCTATAGAACCAACCACACAGAACACACATTTGGTTATGCAGCTAAGTCATAGTTTAAATAAGATTTAAAACAAAGGAATGTTAGATGTCTTCTTATTCCCATTGCACACCTTCTCGCAATAATCGTGCTGTTGCTTGTTTCTGGCCATGGGTCATCTTTGGCCATTGGCATCTTTGGGGTTGGGGCCAGTTGGCAAACAGCTCCTTTGATTCCGGTATGGTCTGAATTTTCTGATGGAAGGGTGGAGAGGGAAAATTGCACATCTGAGACCCTCCTGAGACAGGGCTGGTGAGGGAGGATCGTTCCTTAGTCACTATTGCTCCACCAATGACCACTCCAGCCCCTGGCAAGAGAGGGACAGAGGGAAAGGGCATCGAAACCCTGCCACCTCCAACACTGGCCCAAAGCAGTCTGACAGAAAAATAGCATCCAACACAACGAGACAGGGCAATGGTGGCTCTGTACCCAATGCCTCAGTCCACTTTCCAGATGATGGCTTTGCTGTCCTGTGTCCCACTCAACACATACCGATCTTCAGCTGAGCAGAGAGCTCCAATACCACCACAAGGAGCTTCCAGTTCCTTCTCCAGTGAGTAGCACTCTGAGTTGATGATATAAATGCATCCCTTTCCATTGTTGGTGGTTCCTCCTCCTCCAACCCAGACCTGGGAGGGGGATAGACAGAATCAGCAGGAGTTCACATTCCAGTTGGTGAACTTTGGGGGCTACCAGAGACAGCTGAAACCCACAGTAACACACACACACCAACTACATAAAAGTCCTATGATTGGAGAGTTGCTGGTGTCCCAGTTCAGACATTTAATAACAAAAGGATAACCTAATGTGTAGTTCTGAGAATGAGCTACTAAACAGCACCAAAAGACAAAAATCTACAAAGTGCCTTTACCCCTGAAAACAAGGGCCTCAGGCACTCGGAAACATCATAACCTGCAGGTTCCCCTCTGAATGGCACACCATCTCAGCTCGGAGCGAATCCTGAAGGGCTGTGATGCTTCCAAGTATCTGCTGCCCTTGTCCTTTTTGAGGTTGGAAGTTTGGAAGGTGTTGTCTAAGGATTTTTTTTTTGTTCATTGACGGGATGAGGGCGTCGCTGGCCGGGCAGCATTTATTGCCCATCCCTAATTGCCCAGAGGGCAGTTAAGAGTCAACCACATTGTTCTGGGTCTGGAGTCACATGCAGGCCAGACCAGGTAAGGATGGCAGTTTCCTTCCATAAAGGACATTAGTGAACCAGATGGGTTTTTCCTGACAATTGACACTGGGTTTATGGTCATCATTAGACTCTTAATTCCAGATATTTTATTGAATTCAAATGCCACCATGTGCCGTGGCGGAATTCGAACCCGGGTCTCCAGAACATTATCTGGGTTTCTGGATTATCAGTCCAGCAATGATACCACTAGGCATTCAGCTCCCCCATTTGGTGAATGAACTTCCAGAGGAAGTGGTGGATGTGGGTACAGTTACAATGTTTAAAAGACATTTAGAAAAGTACATGAATAAGAAATGTTTGCAGGGATATGGGCCACGTGCGGGTGGGTTGTACCAGTTTAGTTTGGGATTATGGTCAACATGGTTCATTTCCGTGTTTTATGACTTGATGACTGTAACTTCTGCAGTGCAACTTGTAGACAGTACACATTGCTACCACGGATTGTCAGTGGTGGAGGGAGTGGATGTTTGTGAATGTGGTGCCAATCAAGCGGCTGCTTTGTCCTGGATGGTGTCAAGCTTCTTGAGTGTTGTTGGGGCTGCCCCCATCCAGGGGCAAGTGGGGAGTATTCCATCACACTCCTGACTTGTACCTTGTAGATCAGATCATAGAATCCCTACAGTGTGGAAATAGGCCCTTCGGCCCAACAAGTCCACACCCCCTCAGAGCAACCCACCTAGACCTATCCCCCTAATCTACACATCCCTGAACACTATGGGCAATTTAGCATGGCTAATCCACCTAACCTGCACATCTTTGGACTGTGGGAGGAAATCGGAGCACCTGGAGGAAACTCACGCAGACATGGTGAGAATGTGCAAACTCCACACAGACAGTCGCCTGAGGCTGGAATCGAACCCGAGTCCCTGGCGCTGTGAGGCAGCAGTGCTAACCACTGAGCCACTGTGCTGCCCCTAAATGGTGGATAGACTTCGGGGAGTCAGGAGGTGAGTTACTCGCTGGAGTATTCATAGCGGCTGACCTGCTCTTGTAGCCACTGTGTTTAGGTGGTGAGTCCAGTTCAGTTTCTGGTCAATGGTACACCTCAGGGTGTTGATAGTGGGGTGGTTCAGTGATGGTAACACCATTGAATGCCAAGGGGCAATGGTTATATTGCATTTTTTTAAGAGATGGTCATTGCCTGGCATTTGCGTGGCATGAACGTGAATTGCCAGTTGTCAGCCCAAGTCTGGATATTGTCCAGATCTTGTTACATTTGAACACGGACTGCTTCAGTATCTGAGGAGTCATGAATGTTGTTGAATATTGTGCAATCATTGGTGAACATCTACGCTTGGGACTAGGAGTTAGGATTGGCATTAGATTTCGATTTGAGTGTGTATTAGAGGTTAGGCTAAGAGTTTAGATTGGGACCAGATTTGAGGTAGTGTTCATGGCAGATATGGTGTCAAATTGAGATTAGGGTTAGGGTTAGAATTAGAAGATTACCTGGAGTTACAATTAATATTAAGGTTTACAATCAAATTCAATTGTGTTTAAGGTTAGGGGTTAGATTGAGTGTTGGGGGTTAGTTTAGGGTTGGTATCCTGTTTAGGATGAGGATAAGAGTTAGAGGTTATTTGATAGTTAAAGATATGGTTGGCTTCTGGATAGATTGGTTAGAGCTAGGATGAGTACAAAAGGGAGATTAGTTAGCGTTAAGGTTAGGAATTAGTTAGGAGTTTGGGTTAGGAGTAAACAAGGAGTTAATCTCAGCATTAGGGGTCAGACAGGGATCTTGTTATTCTGTCATGGGATGTAGACATCACTAGCTGGCCAGTCATTAATTACTCATCACTAGCTGTCCTGGGAAAGGTGGTGGTGAGCTGCCTTCTTGAACCACTGCAGTCCATTTGGTGTAGGGACACCCACAATGCTATCAGGAAAGGAGTTTCAGGAATTTGACCCAGGGACGCTGAAGGAACCGTATTAATTAATGTTTATATAGTGAGTCCAGTTCAGTTTCTGGTGGATGGTAACTCCCAGGATGTTCAGAGTCAGGGCTTCAGTAAGGGTAACATTATTGAATGTCAAGGGGTGGTGATTAGATTCTGTCTTGATGGAGATACTGACTGCCTAGTTTGTGTGTGGCGATAATGTTACTTACCACTTGTTACAGTTAGTAATAGAGTTAGGGGTCAGGGTTAGGGTTTAGTTTGGAGATAAGATTAGAGTTAAGGCTTAGGAATTAGTTGGTGTTGGAGTTAAGTTCCAGGAATAAGATATGGTTACAGATATGGTTTAGGGGTGAGTAACATGTAGAGTATCCATGAGGCGTTACTTAGGGGCTCTGGTCGGATATTTGACCCTATTGGAGCCATGTTAGTTACATACCTGATTTTTGACGTGAATCATGCAGGTAATGTTTGAGCAGCCTGGCAGTGGGATAGTTTCAATTGGATCCTTGAGATCATCTGTTTTCCAGATGTACAGGTTCGCTCGCTGGCTGCACACAACCCAAAGTTCATCTCTCTGCAACAGGAATTCAGTCTAGTGTCAAATATGTGCTGCCTCTCTGTATTCACTACATAACCGCCAGCGTGGGAAGAGGGGAGTGGTGGTTTGGAGGGGACTGCTCAAGCCATTGTCTGCCATGACAGTGCGCCGCTCCCTCAGCATTGACCCTCTGACAGCGCGGCGCTCCCTCATCACTGACCCTCTGACAGCGCGGCACTCCCTCATCACTGACACTCCAACAGTGCGGCGCTCCCTCAGCGCTGACCCTCTGACAGTGTGGCACTCCATCAGCACTGAGCCTCTGACATTGCAGTACAAGGTATGAGTATTTGCGTGTGCGTTTGTTTGTTGTTTTGTCAAAAGGACTGAAATAAGTTAAGGGAAGCATGATAATTCCCCTCCCACCCAGCATTGATTTCATACCCCACATCCTCTTCCCAACACTTCTCATACTAATATCTCCACCCCTCAACCTCCAACTTTTGATGTCATCTGTCAACCCGTAAAAGTCCAAGACCACAACCCTCCCACTCCGTGATGTCATCGGGCAACCCTCCCACTCTGTGATGTCACCTGTCAACCCTCCCACTCCGTGATGTCACCTGTCAACCCTCCCACTCCGTGATGTCATCTGTCAACCCTCCCACTCCGTGATGTCATTGGTCAACCCTCCCACTCCGTGATGTCATTGGTCAACCCTCTCACTCCGTGATGTCATTGGTCAACCCTCCCACTCCGTAATGTCATCTGACAACCCTCCCACTCCATGACATCATCAGTCAATCCACCTACTCTGTGATGTCATCAGTCAACCCTCCCTCTCTGTGATGTCATCGGTCAACCCTCCCACTCCATGATATCATCAGTCAACCCTCCCACTATGACCATCACACCAGATATAAAGCCACAACCCCCAATCCTTCAACACTCCCCCCACTGACCCTCCGACAGTGCAGCACTATGACCCCTGAAGTGTAACCTCTCCGATGTCTTGACGTCATCTCCAGGGGCTGGAACTGAGATACCTGAGGGATGATGAGGAAGTCAGTCATGAGGTTGGAGCTACCCTCAGGACTTGGTGTCAAGGTCACCTCCTGGATCTGTGTCCCATCTCGAGCAAGGACCAACAGACTGTATTCAACACCTGGGAAAGATATACAAGGGGAGAGAGAGGGAGAGGGAGAGAGAGTTGGAGAGAGGAGAGAGGAGAGAACGGTAAAGAGAGAGATAGAGAAAACAACAAGGAGAGGGCAAGAGAGGGGGAGAGAGAAAGAGAGAGAGAGAAGGAAAGAGGAGAAAGGGGGAGCGAGAGGGAGAAAAACAGGAGAGAGAGGGGGAGAGAAAGACATAGAGAGAGGAAACAGGAGAGGGGAAAGAGATTGAAGAAAACAAAAGAGTAAACAGGAAGTGCAATAGAAAAAGAGACAAGGAGAGAAATGGAAAGGGAAGAAAGAAAGGATAGACCAAATTGTGAAGATTGAGAGAGAATAACGGATATATAAAATATATACAAAATATGAAAGAAAGAAGAGGTGATAGGAGAGGAGCATTAAGATAAAAAGAGAGGAAGAAGAGATAAATGCAAAGAACAAGAAAGCGGGAACAGGAATATGAAAGGCCAAGAGAATCGAGGAGAGAGCAAGAGACAGAGAGAACGAGAGATAGAGAGAGAGAGACAGAGAAAGGGACAGTGAGAAGGAAGGAGGAAGAGAAAGGTGAAGAGTAGAAGGAAGTATTGAAAGAAATGAGAAAGATAGAGAGAAGGAATTAAATTCAAATTGGTGTATCGATTGTAAATTATTCTAAACCTCCTGAATGCCTGTGTGAGGAGATGGCACTCCTGTGGTGAGATGACCCTAGACCCTGGATACCCAGAGGTTTCTCTGGTCCGGACCAGACTCTGATTTGGTCAGACCTTACGAGATGAGAATAAACTGAACAAACAGATCAGCAGCATTGAATTGTGAGAGGAGGAGATGGACAGAAGCAAGGGGCACTCTAGAAAATCAAGAAATCACAGAAATGACATCTGAGAACACAAGCCATTCAGCCCATCGTGTCCAAGACAGAGAGGGGTTCATTCACTTTATGGTACTTGGGATGTCGAAAAGCATTTTGTAATCATTAAGGCATTCCTGATGGGTAGTCATTACCGAATTGTATGAAACATAATGACATATTTGTGCAAAGTAAGCTAGGAGGGAAATTGATGGGATGAAGACCTTATAATAAAGTTTCTATGATATAGATTGAGGGATTAATACTGCCCTGGTCACCAGGAAGAAACTCTTATGTTCTTCTTTAAAAATGGTTGACACAGGGTTCGGTTTCACAATCTGTTCAAAATCTTGGTGTTACTGACATACTGACTGGATCAAGATGAGACAGCACAGCACACACTGGGAATTACAGCTGTCTTACTGAATAACGATCATCACAGATTCTGTGTCAATCTCCAGCTCCCTCACTTTGCCCGAGAGAATGATGTGACAATACTCACAGCACCAGATGTGGTCGTGATGCAGCAAAATGGATGTGAGCCTCCAACACTGAGGTAACTGGAACTGGCTCTTTATCTCCATCAGTCCTGGGTCCCACAGCAGAATGGAGCCGTCCAGGCTACAGGAGTAAATCTGACTGGAGTGGAAATGAAATCTGCTGAAGTTCTTCCATGTACTGTCTCTCTCTATCTGTGTGTCCCCCTCCTTATTTATTACAGATGTGGGCATCACTGGCCAGGCAGCATTTATTGTCCATCCCTAATTGCCCATAGGGCAATTAAGAGTCAACCACATTGCTGTGGGTCTGGAGTCACATGTAGGCCAGACCAGGTAAGGATGGCAGTTTCCTTCCCTAAAGGACATTGGTGAGCAGATGGGATTTTTACAATAACTGCTGGTGGTTCCTTGGTCACCACTAACTGAGACTAGGTTATTGCATGGCTGGAGTTTCTCAGCTTCTCATGTTTGGATTTGAACTCACTTTCTGCTGGACATTCAGCCCTCAGCTTACTGGGTTCCTAGCCCATAACATGACCAAATCATCCGGGCCCCTCGAGATTGTAGGTACCAGTGAGTGGGGATCAGTGCCTTTTCCAGTATCCCTCAGAGAGTGGGGATGGGGTCTGGCTGGATACCTGGGAATTCTGAGTTGACTTTGACCTTCACTTTGGTGAAGGAGGCTCTCTCACTGGTTTTCCAGGCGATGGGTGAGGAGGGAGGGACGGAGCGAGGTGTAATTGTGGGTGTGGGGAGGTGGCTTACCTGATAGTGTCCCCATTCTCCTCTGTCTCCTCCTGGATCATGTCGGACACTTGGTTGCGATGACCCACCAACCTCTTGTTGCAGGTCATGGTGAGCGCGTCAATGATGTAAATGGATGAGTCTTCTGAACCCAGCCACACCTGCTCATACCCAATGCCAATCATACAGTTCTACGCCAGGAGAGAGACAGAGAGACTGGATCAGCACTGAGCAGCTGGTCTCCTTTAAAACATACTGACTTTCACTATTGTGTCCTTTAAGGGGTTGTAAACCTCAGTTTTTGTTTAATTTGGCTCATTGTTTTGTTTAAACAAAATAGTTCAGGGTCTTATGGTACAGAGGTAGTGTCCCTATCTCTGGGTCAAAGAGTCTGGGTTCAAATCCTACCTCAGGGTGTGGTCGCCATGAAGTGTATCACAACATGCCCAGGCAGACTGATTTATGAAAGAATTGAGACAGAAGGCCTTGTGCCAGGCCTGTCCCCCAGCGCTTGGTAACAGCTCCCACACACGATGGGTGGTAATGGTCTGAGAAAGGGTGTCTGAGTGAGAGCAGGTGGTTAACTGAGCTTTCTGTCAAACTGAAAGGGAACTCTTTTCCCCAAAACAAAACTTTGATCATCTGCCTGATTAGCAATAAGCAGCAACAAATACGACAATTCAAACAGAAAGAAAACAATTTAAAGGACAGTCACTTTATCTTCAATGCCCCGGTCAAACGTGGTGGGATCCTGTCATATGATGGAGAGGAGCCGCAGTCCCCTCCCCGTCTTTGCCCCAGTGGCCGCACACCTTTTTTGGCTAATCACTAGAAATTATGGGTTATGGAGCTACATCCACCTGGGAATCGTCATTGATGTTGTTGGCATTTCGACCATTGCTGCAGCCACTAAAATGCAAAGGAAGGTTGTCCTCTTCATGGGGACTGAAAGGACTCGGCTCTAGAGCAAGGGTTCACTACAGTTGGGACTTTGTGATCCCCCGAAGGCCATTCTGCCATTTTAGCCTTCAGGAGTCCATGGGCCAGGTGTATGTGGACTGTTTTAGACTTCAGCTCCTCTGCCCTTTTTAAAGAAGTTAATGCTAAATCTTTCATTGCAATTCAGCTCCTGCTCTTTGAACATTTGGTGTAGAGAGGGGCAGATAAACTGGGGGGCTTCCTCATTTTCATCAGGTCAGAAAGGTGCATGGGACCCTGTTTGCCTGTCCCTTCATGAGATTTGTGGAACATTCCTTGTTCCGGTCCTATTCCGGATGCACCTGCAACTCTTTCTCTGATACATTGATTATATCATCGGTGCTGCTTCCCTCTCTCATCCAGGATTGGAAAAGATCATTCATTTCGCTTCCAATTTCCACCCTTCCCTCCCTTTCACCTGGTCTATCTCTGACTCCTCCCTTCCCTCCTCGACATCTGTTTCCTTTTCTGGGGATAGACTGACCACTAATATCCACTACAAACCCACTGACTCCCACAGCTACCTGGACTATACATCCTCACACCCCACTTCCTGTAAATCCCATTCTCTCAGTTCCTCCGTCTCCATCACGTATGTTCAGATGACACCAACTTCGAAAAGGGAGCCTCCGAAATGTCCACCTTCTTCCCCAGCACCGTTGTCGACAGGATCTGACCCATCACCTGCACTTCAGTCCTCAAGCCCCACCTTGTCCTTACCTACCATCCCAGCAGCTTCCACATCCAGAAGGTCATCAGAAGCCATTTCCGCCTCCTCCAGCGAGATACCACCATCAGACACATATTCCCCTTCCCCCACTTTGTCCACCTTCCGCAAGGACCGTTCCAACTGGGACACCCTGGTCCACACTTCCTTCACCCCCAACACCTCCCCCCAGCCCTATGGCACCTGCCCCTGTAACCAGTGAAAGTGTAACATTTGCCCATTTACCTCCTCCCTCCCCAGTACCCAAGGGCCCAAACATACCTTCCAGGTAAAACAACACTTTGGCCACACGTTCTTTTATTCATTAACGGGATGAGGGCATCGCTGGCTAGGCAGCATTTCTTGCCCATCCCTAATTGCCCAGAGGGCAGTTTAGAGTCAACCATGTTGCTGTGGATCTGGAGTCACATGTAGGCCAGACCAGGTAAGGATGGCAGTTTCCTTCCCTAAAGGACATTAGTGAACCAGATGGGTCTTTTTCTGCCAGTTGACAATGGGTTTGTGGTCATCATTAGACTCTTAATTCTTGCTGTGGTGGGATTCGAACCCAGGCCCCAAGAACAAGAAAGGTTGTTGCACCAGACTGTCTGCCTCCCTTTTTGTGGTTAGGTTTGTGCCAGGATGTCTTTAGAAAGACAGCAGATGGTATCAGCTGGTGTGCTTCTGGTCTCCAGAGAAAATTGGAGCAGGAGTAGGCCATTCAGCCCATTGAGTCAACGGCTGATCATTCAATTCAGTGCCATGTTCCCACTTTCACTCTGTACCCCTTTATCGCTTCCACAGTGGGTGAATGGGGGCTGGAGTACATCACCCCCATTCCAAAACTATATTAGAGTTTTGTAAGTTTCCATTGAATTTGTGAGTTTTGTTAGAGATCCCATCAGGAACTGATTGTGTTCGTTTAATTCAGTCATTTTAAAATAGAATCATAGAATCATACAGTACAGAAGAGGCCCTTCAGTCCATCATGTCTGCCCTGGCACAAAACTTCTCTAAACCTATGTGAGTCCCACTTTCCTGCACTAGGCCCTTAGCCTCGAATGTTGTGGTAGGCAGACAGCAGTGGTTCAAAATGGCAGCTCGCCCCCACCTTCTCAAGGGACAACTAGGAGCGACCAATAAATGCTGGGCCCAGCCAGCGATACCTACGTCCCACGAGTGAATAAAATAAAAAAACTTCAGGTGCTTATCCAAGTACAACTTAAAGGTTGTGAGGTTCCCCACCTCAATTACCCTGCCAGGCAGTGCATTCCCGACTGCCAAAACCCTCTGGGTGAAAAAAAAACATTTCCTTACATCCCCTTTAATCCTTCTGCCTTTCACCTTAAAACTTTGCCCCTTTTTCTATTGATCCTTTAACTCAGTTAAGGCAGCAGCACCATGTACCCTAACCAGCAACCCACTCAACATGTGACCATGTGTAGCTGTACCACACCTCTGTCCCAGTTCACTCGACATGCCTTCCATGTCACGGGGAAGGGGGCAAGGTGCAGGTGGGCCATTGATGTCTTTTTACTCATTCACAGGACGAGCGCATCACTGGCTAAAACAGCATTTATTGCCCATCCCTAATTGCCCAGAGAGTCAATCACATTGCTGTGGGTCAGGAGTCACATGGAGGCCAGACTCGGGTAAGGATGGCAGGTTTTCTGCCCTGAAGGGCAGAAATTGGAAACAGAAATTGCTGGAAAAGCTCAGCAGATCTGGCAGTGTCTGTGGACAGAAATCAGAGTTAACGTTTCGGGTCCAATGAGGAAGGCTCACAGATGCTGCCAGACCTGCTGAGCTTTACCAGCAATTTCTGTTTTTGTTTCTGATTTGCAGCACCCACAGTTCTTTTAGTTTTTGCTTAGTGAGCCAGATGGGTTTTCCGCTGATAATTGGCAATGCTTTTGTGGCCATCATTAGATTCTTAATTCCAGATTTTTTTTGTTTAATATTGAATTCAAATTTCACCATCTGCCGTGGTGGGTTTTGAACCCAGGTCTCCAGAATGTCAGAGACAACAAGATGCAGAGCTGGATGAACACAGCAGGCC